ATGGGGTTGACACTCAGCCTTGTTGAACCTCATCCCATTCATCTCAGCCCAGCAATCCAGCTTATTTATATCCCTCTGAAGGGCCTCCTTACCCTTAGGCAGATCCACACCACCTCCTAACTTGGTGTCATCTGCAAACTTATTGGGGGGTATGCTCAGTCCCCTCATCTAGGCCATCAATAAAGATATTAAACAAGATGGGCCCCAGTACTGACCCCTGGGGGACACCACTTGTAACAGGTTGCCATCTGGACTTAATTCCATTAATCACTACCCATTGGGCACAGCCCTCTAACCAGTTCCTTAACCAAAGAAGTGTATACCTATCCAGACCACGGGCAGCCAGTTTCCCCAGAAGAAGGCTGTGAGCAATTGTGTCAAAGGCTTTGCTGAAGTCTAGGTAGACTACATCAACAGTCCTTCCCTCATCTACCAGACTGGTCACCCAGTCATAGAAGGAGATGAGGTTGGTCAAGCATGACCTACCTTTCATGCTGTCTGGGCCTGATCCCTGGGCACCATACGTGTGCAGTGTGATCTCACCCAAAATGATTTTCTCCATTACTTTCCCCGGTACTGAGGTCAGGCTAGCAAACCTATAGTTACCCAGATCCTCTTTACGGCCCTTCTTGAAGATGGGAATCACATCAGCAAGCCTCCAACCTTCTCCAGTTAACCAGGAGCCCCGATAGGTGGCTGAGAAGGTCCAAGAGCCCAAGAACCCCACCAACTCCCTCAGCACCCAAGAGTGTAGCCCATCCAGTCCCATGGACTTGTGACAGTCCAGATGGAGGAGGAGCTCTCTAATTGTCTTCATCTGAATCGCTGGGGGTATAGTCTGAGTAGCATCCCAGACTTCCAGATCAGGGCATAAAATGCCCAGAGGATAACTGATCTGGCGAGTAAAGACAGATGTAAAGAACGCATTGAGGACCTCAGCCTTCTCCTTATCCTCAGTGGCCACATTCCCTGCTGCATCAAGTATAGGATGAGAATTATCCTTGGTGGTTCTTTTGCCGTTAATATATTTATAAAAGGATTTTTTGTCTTTTACTGCAGTGGCCTACCTGAGTTCTAGTTGGGCTTTCACCTTCCTAACTTTCTCCCTGCATACCTTAGCTACTTCTTTGTAATCTCCCCAGGTAGCCTGTCCCTTCTTCCAGAGGACATAGACTCTCTTTTTCTACCTGATTCTCAACAGTTCTATTATTCAGCCTACCTTCCTTGTTATTTCATATAACCTCAGTGATAATCCACAGAGTGAATTACAGTTTTCCTTAAGGATTCAATAAATACCTGTTGAAAGTCAAGCAGAGAAAGAGAAAAGAAACTTGGGAATTGAAATCCACAAAAAAAAAAGATAAAAATTACTTTACAAGCAGAGGATCTAAACTTAAAATTGTAACTTATCAGGTATGTTTCTAACAAAGACAAACGGCTAAATTTCTCCCCATACTGAAACAGTATAACAGCATGATTCTTTGAGTAATAATGCCTTCTCTCACTTGTATTTCAATTAGTATGGTCTTTTCTGTCTGTCCATTTGTTATTCCAACTCTATTCCAGGTTCTAAAATTTCATCGATCATATTTACCTTTTCATTCTGGATGACTCTTGGTAAAATAAGGTTCCATCTCTCTACCCAGAACATCTGAAGCAGAACATACTGGGTCCTAGAAATACAATTTCTGAACATTCATGGGAAGCCAGTAGTTTCTATTCTCCATATACTTAGAGTTTCTCAGTATTTCGTTAACCCTTTTTCTCTTGCAAGTAAAAGGGAGTTCTCTCACACATCTTCCTCAACTACATTCTTTATTACACAAACAGAAAAACAGACAAATAAATGCAGAACTTGCACTAGGTTTCACAAATACACATCTAGATACACATCATGATGAGTGTTTTCATAGTATTTCAAAGATTCATGTGATCCATTCTCATGGTTGTAGTCTTTTTTTTTCCCCTTTTCCTCTCCTATTTAGTTATTAACCATACAACTACTTTTCAAGACAATTACCCATCTAACAGTCTAATACTCAATGACATCTATTATTTATGTGGATTTGAGATGTAGAAACATCACAAATCCTCTAAGTCTGTACAGCTGCCAGATTCACATATGCATATAAGCCTTGGGGAGTCTGCTTCCTCAAACTGCTATTGCTAAATGAATCTATTGCATGATTCTTCTGAAGCAAAAGATTTGGCCTAGTGTGTTTAAAGAAATTTTACTGAATTTTTTATAGTCAAGAGTACACAAAAATTACACAGAACACATTTATTTCAACATAATTTTCACAATGCCCTTCTAAACTCATCAACTCTTAAGATCATCTTCATGTTTCAGTTCCATAACTTCCCTTTACCAAGAGACTTTTAATAACAAATAACTTACTCCCATCTGGTCTTAAAACTGTTAAAACTCCTGAACATATTGCCCTTTTCCTTCACACTCTGTTAAGTGATCCCGAGTGTTCCTCAGAGTCCTGTTACTTCCCTCTAGCCTAGCCTGATCAGACATGATTTTCCATGTTCCACCACGATTTTCATCAGTATATCAAAGTCATCTGTAAACACTTCACTGCCTGAAGTGATTAGCACACTGATGAAACACAATGTCAACATCTGTCTTAGAGACAAATTTATCTTCATCTCCATTAATTTAAAGGATAAGAGGTGAACAAATCTGATCTAACTTTTTCATTTCTTCATTTATACCAAGAGAATGACAAAACGATATTCTGGTTTCCTGTTTAAGTAAAATATCAGTTCAAATGTCCATTTTAAGCATTACTACTCACAGGAAGTGATCTCTAGATCAGGTGAAAAATGTGCAGAACAGAACAAGAACAAAAAAACCTGTAGAAAATAAGATCTAAGGAAAAAAACTGAAAAAGCAGAGGCTAGTTCATAAAAAAAGAGAACAATATGTTGAATTTCATTGAGGATGGGGTAATCTCTTTATCTTTGCATGAAGGAACAAGTGATAATGAACAAGGAAGTAGGTTTAGGAAAAGCTTAGCAGCAGTAAGAGAAAAATTAGAATCAGTAGTATCAGAACAGATTGCTGAAGGAGGAAGTGAAATCTTCACTTACAGATTTCTTTAAGAACAAATAAGACAAACATCTTTTTATAATGATTTAAATAGAACTGATCCTGTCACACACAAGGGACAGCCCCTCACAATCCTCTCCAGCCTTTTTTTTTTTAATGGTTCTGCACTCCTAATTCTTCAGCTTGTGTTGAGGTGTGTCTGGAACTCCTTTATTTGTCATAAACAAAGGATTCTTGCTGATCTCATGGTTCCTGTACACAAAACTTCAACACTTCAGAACTCTTAATCACAGGGCTCACAGATCTATAGATCCTTTCACAGCAATTTGCAAATACTGTGTGAAAACTCAGTATTTTGCAGTGTAAGGGATTAACTTGAAATTCAGTAAAATCTTCAGGATTCATCAAGCATACTGAAGAGTAAAGAAGAGTTTGCTCTCCTTCTTCTGTTCGTAACGTAATCAGTACAAAATCACTGTTCTCCCAGCTGATAGTATGACATTCCACATAGGACAAACAATAGTTTTTGATTGCTGCTGTACTGAGTTTATATCACACCTTAAAATCTGAAATCATTGTCCACTTTGTCATTGAATAGGGTGCATTAAAAATGTTGAGAAAACAGAGGTAGGTTGTAAAAACCTGATCAAGAGAAGGAATACTTCAGAGGTCTCTCTCACACTAAAAATGGTGCTGAAGGCTGCATTTTGGGACAGTGGTAGGAGGAACACTAAGGTCTATTTTCTGCTGTGTTATTTTTTCATTTTATCCAGTAATTTTTATCTGAAAAACTCTACAATAGTGGAAAATACAAACATACTACAGCATGAGGTTCATCTTAGTTTTCTCATTTATTTGAGCTCTACTTTCAATCTGAGTTGAGCTTAAGAAACAGGGTTGGAAAGTGGCCCTGTTCTAGCTTTGTACGTGGTCTGATATTAAAGGAACTGTTGTGGAACACAACAAGATGTGATCAGATTCCTGGAATGGGAGTTGTAGAACTGCCTTGATCTGATAGAGTTTGAATCCAATTCCTTAAGTCAACAAAGAGAGTAATCAAAAACAAATTATTCTCTGCAGGTACACAGCTTGTTAAAAGTTATAAAAGAAAATCTAATTACCGCAGTTTTAAACTACTTCGTATTTTGAACAGCATGATGCTGAATCTGACCCTATTTCAATGCCATGGCAGGATCTATCAGTATGGCATATGTAATGTAAATACATAGTTACAACATTTAGAAGATATTAAGGGATATTTAGGGCTAGTAGCTCCTCTCTTTTTAGTCAGTTTGAAATTAATCCTCCGATGACATTCAGTAATTTAAACAGGAAGTACACTATGACAAAATAATTCTGATAATATCTGAGAATAAAACTAAAGATGTACTTGGGATGTTGTAAATAATAATAAACTATTATCTCTCACTTTTCAGCCAACTGAGGTACAGTTTGAAGACCTATAAGTTTACTACAAAGTATTTCAAAAATATTCTTGAGTAATCAAACACATTGCTTGCTTTAAAGAGCCCTGAGTACATGAAGCTTAATATGTTTTTAATATGGCATCAGAGAGAGGACAGACCTAGATGCAAATATTACTTATGTTATCTTAACACGTTACAATTGATATCAGAAAACTTTTGTTATGCATAATGAAGTGTCATCTATATGACAAGGTATTAACTTCATTCTGATATCATATTCTGTACAACAGCATATGGCATTTTCAACAAGGAATGAGCTGCTGGCATCTTTCAGTCCTTTTCAACACTGATTGTTAAAATTAGAATGCTAGTACATATGTGATGATTTCCTGAAGGATACACTGACATTCAAAACTGTGCCAGTTCTAGCACTGAACTGAAGAACGTTCATTAGAAAGTATCCTCAGACTGAGAATAATTTGTACAGTAAATTAGCTCAGGGAGAAGAAACTTACTTCTTCCTCCAGTCCAGTCAGATCCCAGAAGTAACTCAGCCTCATCTGTAAACGCTTCCACTGCTCAAGGAACATAGTAGCTTTAAAAAAAAATAAATGGGAGTAATAAATCCACTATTGTGAATGTTTGTGTTTCTTGTAAGCAACGTCTGATATTCGAAGCCCATTATACTAGACTCGTAAAAATAAGGAAGATCCCCATTCCAATTCTAAAAAAGGAACACAGCACAAGTACAGAAAAGAGATTCCGCAGATTGCCCAATGGCACTAGAAAGATGTTGTCAGGAACTGAACCCTAATCTGTTGATATCCACCACGATAACACCATCTCTCTTAATTATGAGTCACAAAGTATATAATGAAACAAAATTTAGGTCTAAGTATTAATATTAACACTCTAATTATCTGAACAGTCTTTCAGTCAGAAACATAAGAAAGTAGGTGCAGTCTGCTCCTGAAATCAGTCATTGATACATATTATATATCATGTATATTATGATCCATTATGGTATTGATGAAAATAATCTTTATTTGAAATACATTGTTAGGGGATAGTTGAATTGTTTCACACTGTGTAAGCACATGACCTTAGGGCTTTGCCCAAAGGCATGGGCCAGCATTCAGTCTTCTCTTTTTCCTTTTTCATTATTTTGAAATAACAGATCATGTAGTGCTGTCTTGTATTTAGTCTCTTAACCTTCTCATGAATACTGTTTTCTCTAGATACACCTTTGCCTTGCTAGTTGTAATTTACGGACTTTTGGACTTATTAGAAATAGCACTTCCTGTTCGCTTGTGGATACCTATTTCCAGAAAATTATAGCAACATTCTTCCAGAATATCTAATGTATATAAAAACAATATTAATAAACAACTTTGGACACTGTTTTCTATTTTCTCATAGTTCTTTTCCTCTTTTCAGTTGCTTGAGAGGTTATTTGATCACAGCAGTATTTAAATCACTTTGAATAATGTGTAGATAACACCCCAAGACACAGAAGAATGAAGATTCAGACCTAGCTTCCTTCAGTTGCATCTACATTTGGTGTGAGATACATGATAACAGCGGGAAGAGTTCCACTGCTATTAAAACAATCCGAATCTTACAAAACACCATGCATTCCCACAGTTCACTGTGATCAAATATTTCTACACTAGAATCCTTTAATTATTCTTTAATTATTTAAGAAATAAAAGACAAGATTGTCAGTATACTGGAAGTAAATCCAGGTGCTCAGCAATTAAGTTTCTAGTCTCCCTCTTTTTGGAAGAAATGATACACAAAAGTTATTTTAACTATGTTTTGAAAACTCAAAATATTTTAGATAGCCGAAAAAATTATTCTGAAAGGTGCAGTTACTCACTGAATTTTTTTCAATTTTTCAAAAAACAGATCTACTTTTAGCTTTGCAAAAATTTGTCTAAACATACTCACTACAATATGTACTAGCATTTCTGAAATTAGAAATTTTGCATTAATTTACATAAGCAGAAAACCAGTCTCACTTCATGGCAACAGGTAAACTGTGACCCATTATCTGCTAATCTACTCTCCAAATGGTAGCCAAAGTAGGAACATAAGACACAAGTCTGTAAATTCATCTTATTTGTAATCCCTCTAGTACTGATTATGTATTGTTAGGCTTCTGTTGAATGATTTTCAGGAAGTGATAAACAAAATCTTTCGATTTATACAGTCTACTCTGTCTTCAAATTCCTAAAAACCTCAATGCTGTTTATGCCCAAACCCAAAATAATAGTCTTTTCTAAAAGAAGCTGTGAAATTTAAATAGAGTTAGAGTAAAGCACATAGCTGAGTTATAGCTGTAGAGCAATATTTGCACAATTTCATATTAAGAATTAAAATTTCCTTCTGTGAAAAATGAATAAGAAAATTTTAAAAATCATTTTACAGTAGCAATTACACCCTTAACTTTCACAGTAAACAAGATCTAGAGTGAATGAGGGCATAGCAACAGCAATGACACGCGTGTAAGCACAGTGGTTGAGATGAGGCCAGACAATACTACAATGCATTCATTGCTGTTTATGAAGTGTTTTGACCCCTCAGTGAGACAGAGTATTTTTGCCACTAAAGAAAAACAAGCTTGCATAAATAATATATTCTAAATACAAAAATAAGAATAATAGTTCCACTGTTCTCAGAATCTAACAAAGTTTTGATAAAATTGTGTCACTAAGTTGTCCTACATGGAAGTGGAAGGGCTTAAATTAAACCCTTATAATTGCATACCCCATGGGAAAAATCCAAATACACTCCAGTCCCAAATGCAGAAGTGCTTAATAGGACTTGCTGCTTCAATAGAAAATGATGGAAAACATGACAAAAGTGAAATCAAACAAGGAAATAGAGGGGAAAAAAGATACAGTTTCCCTACCTGGACTACCCAACTGCTCTTCATTCATTTGAAACCTTTCTGTTGACTAAAGAATGCATTGTAATAATTCCTTTTCCAGTTTCAGCTCAGAGATTCTATTACTTGCCTTCTGAGGAAACTTTGCCAACTTTGGAAAACTATATGCATTACACTCACTCATATTATTCTACTCTGTGTACAATGTTCTGCTGCCATGTATCAGCTTTAATTTTAATGAAAAGTCTGTTAAAGACAGAACTGTTTTTCTTTTGTTGTCTCAAAACTTGCTTCGTGAGGCCTTTCTGGTGAGAAGACTCTAAATGAGAGTTGCAAATTATCTGGGGGATCAAGTGGCAGGTGTCACTATGCCACAGTACTTCTGCTTATGATTGTCAAGATAAACAGAAGCAAACTAACTTCTGTCTTTTTTGGGGGCAGTTTGGAGGAGCTGATAACTGCAAAAGGCAATAATTCTTATGCATGGCAAGCCAGCAGGGAGTGGAGCCTTTACTATCCATTGGACCAGGTACATCACACTAACAGAGAGAAAAGAAGGAAAAAAACAGAAATGAGGGATAAAAAGCCCTCACTAAACTAAGGACTTCAGGGAAGAACTCCCAAAGAAACCTTTGTTGGAAGATTACCCTAATGGGAAAAAAACCTCTTTGGAAGAATCCCCCTAGGTCTGCTTGCTGCAAACCCTCCTGGCTTTTTCCCATCCACCGCAGTGACTGGCTGAGTTTCTGAGGTCAACAAACACACTACAAATCATGCTGGACCTACAGTAGTGACTATCTCTCTTGCTTTCTACAAAGACTCCTTGCTTTTTCTCCCTCTATCCTTTTCTATCATCTGTCTTCCCTTCCCCATATGCCTAATCAACTAGGATTTGTAATAAACTGTTTGGATTAGCACTTTACCCATCATGTCTTTATCTCGCCATCAGGTATACATATATTAAAAGAACCTCCTCTCCCTACCATGTATTGGAGCGAGACAGTCCAACAATCTAGCTTTGGTAATTGTACTCACCCCAGAGAGCCATAAAGATGGAGAAGAAGACTGTGGCAGGATTATCAAATAAGTGGCTAGCTCGAGCTGTAGAACACGCAGAGCTGAGGTTCCAGTAATCACAGAACTTGTCACAGAGAGGGCACATGGTGAAGGTATTATGCTGGTCACACATTTCCTTACTGTGAATGATATGAGTTCTTAGAGTAAGGGTTGTACAATAGTGATACCAAGAAGCAATTCATAGCTATTACAAGATATTTTCAATATGAGGCTTGCTGTAATAGAGAACAAAAGCCCTGCATTTCTTAACACATTGCCAACCTCTGTAATATTAAAATACTGGTACCTTACCAACAGAAAATTAAAAACAGGGTCCAATTTAATAAATCAGTTGTCACGGAGTTGACCAGATCAATCTATGTCCGTGACAGGGGCGACAGGCCTCTGCCCTCCCCCCCCACCCCAGTCCCACAAAAATGGGAAGGAAGGAAGGGAGGAAAAGAGCAGCGGCAACAATCTATGGAGGAAAACTTATTTTACTATAATATCGGAATACAAGATAACACAATATATACAATTTAATTGCAATTGGGATTAATAAATCAGACAAGATGAGAGAGAGAGAGTTCCCGGGACCGATTCAAACCTGAAAAGCTTGGAACGGCTAGGAAAGCACCCTCCAGCACCCACTGCAAGGCAGCAAGAGAGCGCCCCCCCCACCCGGAAGGGCCAGATCCCGTGACTTCTGTAATGTACAGGGATAGGTACTTGGAATTGGGGCAGTGACACTTTAATGCCCCGTACACTACATGATGTTTTGATGTGGAATACTGAAACCCGGAAACAAAAAAAAACAAAAACAAAAACAAAAACATAGAACCATGACATCAGTATATATGTTGTTAGTAATTCTGTGAAGACTACAGTAAAGATTGGGATTAACAGTACTAGAAGAAAATAATTAAAACACAATCAAAGTGGAATTTGCCATCTCTGCATTCAGCAGCATGATTTTACATAGATCAGGCTTGAATTAAAGAATTTTGTAGTAGCTGGAATGGAAATTCTATGGGTTCTTATTTCATTTGCCCCCAACAAAACAAATTTTTACATGACGGCACAAAAATCCACATGAAATATCATATTACTTTACGCATTTTTGTCCATATTACTAACCACATCATGCTGCATAAAAACCAGGTCCAAAATGCAGGCATTTTAGTTGTTCTGTGTCATGGACATAGTCTATACCTACAATATCATTTGCTAGGAAGATACACTAGGTGGTTGTATAAGTGACACAAGCATTGTACACTGTCCAATAGTCTTATTTTTAGGAAAGATGTTGTATTTCCCATTTGCTTTGAAATTTGTCTCCATCCTTCATTTTATTTTGAAGGATATTTATAATAACAGTGCACGTTCACCTAAGATAGGGCTTAACACAAATTCTGGTCTGTACTACCACTTACCATAAAGTTCTTAAAGTATACCTAAACAAATATGTTTTAAGAGCATTCGGATACTGTGCCCACAGTGGTTTCAGAAAATGAAGTTCCTTCACTTTTCAGGGTCCTCAACACAATTTCCCCACAGTTACAGAGCTCTTTGGCTGAATAGCTCCTTGTTTTTCTAGTATAGAGTGCTAATCTAATTTTCAAATTTAAATGAAAGTTGTAGATCTTATAAAAACAAGTATTTCACTTCTGCCCTATTTGTTCATTTGCTAAGCAATGTTTCCTTTCCCTCCTTACTCTGCAAGATTGGTTCTGCTACCCTCTGGAAAACATGACATAAGAGACTAACAAATAGAAAAAAAAAAAAAAATAATAAGGTCACTTTAATTTCTAGCCTTATTTACTATGCACTTCCTCAGTACCTACAAATAATTTAAAAATCATTATCATTAATTCTTTAATACACCAAACCTTACTTGACTCTCCTGAATATGCTTTCAATTTTTTCATAAGGTTTATATGTGAAATAACTTCATACCTGCACAGTCTCATTCAAATGAATTGACTCATGAAAACTCAAGTGTCCTTGTCCAAGATTGTGAGCTACAGTAAAACTTGCATCATTTTCATTGACAGCTGGTAAGTTGCGATAAGATCATCTTCTAAATCAACCACCATTCGATAGTACTTTATCTATTACTTCAAATAGAAGAGCTATTCAAACTGTACTATCAGTATGTTTTCTATTATATAATTTGAATGGCATACAGCTGTTAGCAGTTATCATATAGTTAAAATATTGCTCTATGTTGAAAGGCAGTAGAGGATACTGCAGATATATCTTTGAGACAAATCTCACTTCATTTTTAATGTCACCACAAACTCTCCCACGGACAAGCACAGCTCATAATTTGGAAGAAAATCACAGAATCACAGAGCTGGAAGGGACCTCAAGCATCATGAATACAACCTAACTTAAGTGTATTCATCCTTACCTATCAGCAGTAATTTTCTACTGCAGAGTGATTTGCTTTTAAATTTGCCAATTATTTAAATGAATGCCAGAACTACTGCAACAAATGTGACCAACAGCTCTATTAAGCCAGTATGCTGTCTCTACCAAGAGTCAGTCCCAGATAGTGTATTCCCCCCCACACAACACTGTGAAGCAGACTTCACTGCATCAGTATTCATAGAATCATAGAATTCCTGAGTGGAAGGGAATCAAAGGATTGAGTCCAACTCCCAGTCCCCACAAGACCACCCAGAACTGAAACCTTATGTCTGAGAGAGTTGTTTGAAAAGCTTCTCAAACTTCAGCAGGGTTGATGCCATGACAACTGTCCTGGGGATCCTCTATCAGTGCCTGACCACACTCTCAATTAAGAACATTTTTCTAATACCCAACCTTTTTCTCCTGAGAAAACTCCACGTCTTGATGCTGTCAGCAGACAGAAGATACCAGCATCTGTCACCCCGCTCCTCCCATGAGGAAGCTGTAGACAGCCATGAGGCCTCCCTCAATCTCATCTTCTCTAGGCGGACCAAACCAATGGACCCTTCTCATATGTCTCACTCTTTAGACTCTTGTACCCCTCCTTTAGACACTCTGTAGTAGTTTAATGTTATTCTTTTATTATGGTGCCCAAAACTGCATGTAGTAATCGAGGTGAGGCCTCCCCACTAGTAGAATGAGTTTTGTTATGTATTTGTAGAGGAAATGCTATGTCATGGCTTGAACCAATGATTGAGCACCTGGTAGGAAATTAGGGCCAACCCAGAGGAGCTCAGTTGCAAGAGATGCACCTAACTGACCAGAAGGCGGGGAGCTAGAATCCAGGATCCTTTTAAGGGTTGGTAGTTGAGGCAAGGGTATCTCTCTGGAGATCCATGCTTATCTGTGGATCTTACAGTCTTCCTAAAGGAGTTTCTTTCTGCTATTTCTGCACCTAATGCATCACATCTAAGCAGATCCTCAATTGCTGTAGCCTAAGATTTTGCTGCTCTGCCATCTTGTTACTCTTTTTATCGCCTTGCAGTGTTGTATCTGGACACAGAGAACAACACTAAACTTTTTTTCTAATTGTCAAGATCAATTATATGGATATCTAATCTGCTATAGAATATTCATCTTGTGCAAATAACTTGGTTTTACTATGTCATGAAGTTATCCCTAGATCTAAAACTGTGACACTGGGGGCATAGGCCTGGGGAAAAGAGCAAACAAACAAACAAAAAAAAAGGAGTACTAGCAGTTTGTGTGCAATCCAGCAGGCCCTGGCCCAGCAGCAAGATGCACTGTGGGCCACGTGCTCCAGGAGAGGGAGAAAAGCAGAGAGCTAGCAGATGGGTCCAACAGAAGAGACACAACAGAAGAGATGATTTACTAAATCCAACAAAAATCAAACAAAATGAGAGAGAGGAAGATCAGAGCACCCAAATTGCAAGTTGCCATTATAGTGCAAGGGGAGCATGAGCCCTTTTCGACCGGGAGCTGAGTGGGGCCAGGGAAAGAGTCACTGGAGTGCACTCCAGACTTTCACCTATCTTCCTCTGCACCAAGTGCTCCAGGAATGCCACTCCTCCCCTACCATCCGAATATTCAAAATACTCATAAAAGGCAGTAAAGCAAACCATAGCATTAACTCTAACTCCCACTGGTTTGCATGTTGTTGTCAGTATTCCACATAAGAACAACGCAAAACCACAACATACTAAGATGAACAAAACAGTCCAAGACATGGTATTTTCATTAACTTCTGTGAGTTCTGAACTTTCCCAATAATATATAAATATTCATTCACAGAAAACAATTGGATGGCATAAAAAAGAACTTACAAGTAGTTCAATACTTTGATCATGCTTATTAAAATAATGCTGTGGACTTACTAAACATTTTTACATCAGACTCCACAATACTGAGCAGACAAATGAATGTTAGTCATCCAAATGTCTCATCTACTCAGTGGATGTGTATTTCCAGTGCCCAAAGTGTTGTTAATTCTGCATCACTGTAGTTCAGACTTGTTGCTAAAAGCAACTTTTCTCACTAAGACTTACAATAGAAAAAAAGTACATTCATAACTTTCAAGTAATAAAATCTCTTCATAGAGAAGCTTACCTAGGAATGTCGCTCTCAATGGTTATACATCCATAAAGAAATACAATAATCCCAACAGCTGAAGATGGAATGAGAAATTCTGTATACAAGCCCAGCCATGCAAAGTAAAGTCCTATTTTTTCCCCAAAATACTTCCTGAAAGAGACAAACAAACATATGCCAAGGGTATCATTTTTGAAATGTATTTTAGTTTCTTAACAATCTCCAAAATTTAAAATAACTGTCAAAAACATGAATGAAAATTCTGTATTTTGAAGTTAGTACCACCAAATGAAGTGAATGATTTGAGTAGTTTAAAGCACTTTGTTAAAGTTAAAGAGAATCCTGTTTCAGTATAACACATACTCAAAATTCTTTTTGCTCGGAAAAAAAAAAACTACCTCTTACATCTTTGAACTGAAGTCAATGAAATACTCCTCACTTCCATCAAAAATAACAGTATTTCATCCAAATGTTTGGCAGAAAATGATGGAAAGGATTCAGTTCTCCAAAAGCACATCCAGGTGAGCCATCATTCTTTGCTTCTGTAAGTCCTCTTAGATTTATTTGGAGACTAATGTGGAAATAAATCTGTAGGAACGTAATGACAGCATCCTCTAATATCTTTATAGAGTAAGAAACTGGAATTTCTATTAAAACAGGAAGGTTTACTTGCATATCTAGTATTTTCTTTTTAGAAAGAATAAATATCTTTGACAAATGAGCAGACCATACAGCTGGTTTGAAAAAAAATAACTCCTGCTCTGAGGAACAGATTATAGTTAATACTGATAAACATGTTGCTACTCAACATCTTCATGACTCATACTGAAAGTAGCAGAGTAAGCACAGATAAAAGTCATTGATCTTTCCAAAATACGGGTAGGAAAGATTACAAACACTAAAAAAACACCAAGAAATTCAGAGAGCTAAAGAACTCGGCAATGACAATATCAATATTAAAATGAGACTAAATTCACATAAAATACATGCTGGTTTGAAACATATCACAAGCTAAAGAATAAGATGGAAGAGTGCTGGTCAGAAGACAATTATGTACACAGGGTATATGATTGCATTTAGCCAGAAAAATACACATTTATGAAGTAAGGGTGGAAAGAACAAAGATTTTTTGATAATATATCTAATTAAAAAAATTGGCAAGACTTGTTCATTATTTGAGCATGATCCCACTTAGAAACTGACTCTAAATCTCCTGACACTAGGAAAATTTTACCCATTCATTCTTCATTTACCCAATGCATTCCTCATTTAAGTTATTCCTAACAGAAAATGAGATTTTTGAAAGCCTGGGACAAAGGCTGCAGAAATAACTCTATTCTGAGAGAAATTAGTACCAAAAATTCATACATACGGAGCCTTTCAACATCATAGGTAATGCTGAAGTTTTCTATGCTGAAATATTCTATTTCAGAAACTAACTCTTGTGGCAGGAGCAGACTTGCCCTAAGAGAGGCAGCAAAGCACTAGAACCAAGGAGGAAAGAAATTGGGGTAACATTAAAAGCCTCTACAGTTAAACTTACAGCTCCCAGGAAAGGACAAATGGTTGAAACAATGGATTTTTTTTTCCATCACTACTGTTCCTGCTGCTGTTCTCATACCATCACAACTGCCCGTTCCTAAACTCATACACAGGGAAGAGGGCAGTGTTGTCCTACATGAATGCCTATATTTTATTTGTTCCAGAGAGAGCTTATTACTAAAAGAGGAGATACGCAATCCTAGAAGGGAGAACTAAATAAAAGTACTCAAAGGTGATAAACAGACAGTGTTAATCTTCAGTATGAGAGAATGCTGTAGCTTGGAGAACATGCGCAAAAGCAAGGCAAATTTCATTTCCATGAAAGACATACAGCCATTAGACCTGAAATCCACAAGGTTGTAATAAGCAACAGTGTGAATTATCAAACAATATCATGACAGAATGACTTCAGTGGCACCAAGGTAACTAGATACATTTCTCAGTGCAAGAAAACAATTTCCACAAATAGAGCAATCTAATTCATCTCTTGCTCAAATGCCTTTTCATACAATCATAGAATCATTTGAGTTGAAATGAAATGACTAGAAATCATCTAGTCCACTCTGCAATTAATAGGATCATCTATAGCTGGGTTAAGTTGCTCAGATACGAGTCCAGCCTGATCTTGAATGCCTCCTGGGATAGGGCATTCACCATCTCTCTAGGTAACTGTTCCACTGCTTCACTGTTATTACCGTAAAGCTGCAGTGAAAGCAAAGGCATGCCATTCATTTCCTGATGATGGATTGGATCCACTAATGAAAAGTCCCAGCCCCAGGCTTCCATGGAAGCATGAAGCCCATTCCTGCCTTCAGGAATGATGAATGGATGGCAGGGGAGCCAGTCTCTTGCCTCCAGAGGGAAGAAGTTAAACAAGGTGAGTGACAGTGCCTTTCCTCGCATATCATTATGCTGCTCTACAGGCAAAAGAGGCAGACAAGGGAGGTGAAACAGCCCTACTGTGTTCTTTGGGAATTATGCTGAAGCTGGGAAGGTGCTGTGTTTCCTGTAGCCTCCAGGAACTGCCCCAGGTCCCAAAGTGTTGCAGGATGTGCAAGTGTGTACACAGGGGCATGCACACACATGCACCCAGGAAAAGGTCCATTATCATCTTCACATAGGCTCTTATCAACACTTCCATTACAGCATAGTACACTGGTAAGAGCAAAAGATTTACCAGTAAGCTTAGCCCATTTAATATTTGAATCCATGTATCTGCAATGTGATTCTGTCTGTCTGTTGCCAAAATAGTGTATTTAAAAAAACCCTAGTATTTAAATTATTTTTATATATTAAAATTATATATTTAAATTATATGCTTGTGTACTGGGCACTGCTTCTATGCCAAGCTGTGCAATTTGTAATAGACTAAGATTTTGGAAGGGGGAAAGAAGGAGAGAAGAATAAATCCTTAGATTTTGACTTTTCAAAAATGAGTGTTGGATACTGAAGATGCGAATACACATGCTGGAAAAAAACTCTGGAATCATTCAAGAACGATGTTTAAAAAAGCAAAAAATCATAGAATCACTGAATGTCCTGGATTGAAAAGGACCATAATGAGTATCTAGTTTCAGCTCCACTACTATGTGCAGAGTTGCCAGCTACTAGACTAGGCTGCCCAGAGCCACATCCAGCCTGGCTTTCTATACCTCCAGGGATGGAGCATCCACAACGTCCTTGGGCAACCTGTTCCAGTGTGTCACCACCCTCTGTGTGAAAAATATCCTCCTAGTATCTAACCTAAACCTCCCCCGTCTTAGTTTAGAACCATTCCCCCTTGACCTATCACCATCCATCCTCATAAACAGTCATACCCCTCCTGTTTTTGTGCTCCCTTCAAATAGTGGAAGGCCACAATGAAGTCTCCCCAGAGCCTTCTCTTCTCCAGTCTATACAACTCCAGTTCCCTCAACCCTTTCCTCACAAAAGTGAATATATATATATATAAATATATTAAAAATATACATTTTAGACATCAAGAACTGGGAAATCTGCTCAAAATTTTTCAGTTCTTTGTTTTCCATACTCCACTGTAGGCCAGCTGTTATTTCATGCATGCCACAATTCATTTCCCACAAAATCACCCCAAGCGAGTCAGTATTTTCTATGCAAAACTTGAACTGCATTACAATTAATTATTGGTTAGGCTCTCCCCTATGCAAATGATTGAAAGTCACATGCCTTCAAATAAATTTACTCTCAAAAAAAAGTGTCTGGCATAGACAAGTAGTACTCCCAAGGTATGATTTTATGAAAAAAAATTGTTACCATAGCTAGTTTAAAAGCTTTCTTCCCATCCCCGGCTTCCTCATGCTCTCTCTCACCTACCTCCTCTCTAACCTGTCTTCTTAGTTGTACTGACGAATCCTAAACCTGAGTAATGTTAAAAAATATATAATAAAACCCCTGAAGGGACATATCCACTTCTTCAACGAGTATACTACAGCAGTGACATATCATTGAAGAAAATGGTGCCAGAGTCAGGAATTCCTACAACAAACTAGGTCAGGAAAAGAAAATCTGTCCATAAACTGAAGTCTTACCCATATATGATTTGCCACATAAATACTAATTTCTCATTTTATTTTTTTTTATCTCAGAACACAGTTGTATGGGGACTGCTGAATCACAGCCTAAACCTGAGGCGAGCAATGAGTCAGCCATGGGAGCATAGATGAAGGCAATCCACCTGTGCTGCCGGAAGGGGTGGAGCCTGGTTCCACCTCTCCTAGACCTAGACATAAAGTGAGTGTTCTTCTTTCCTGCTCTGGTATAATGACTAAAAAAGCCAAGCTCTCAAATATACTATACCATTTGTATATTCATTGATTATACATTTGGTGAGCTAGCCAGGTCAAATATACTTTGTATCATGGCCTTTCTGTGGAATTTCTATAAATGGGTCAGGGGGGAGAACATTACCTTCTTAGATAAAATGATAAAATGATCCCCGGACAGATCCCAGGGTTTCTGGGATCTCCTTATTACCAATAAGCAACTATAGTTGAGAAATGTGGTCCCCTGCGTACTATGGGGAATATTTCCCCATTCCATATGACAGAATACTTTCAAAGATTAGACAGAGACATCCTAACTACAAAATAAAGGCAGTTAGCTGCATCCACAGTGGCATGGCTTCTGTTAAATGCCTTAAATCAAGCTGAGATAAGATCGGACATCTTAGAAAGTGAAAATCAGCTACTAAAAGATTGTATTGAAAAACTGGAACATGAACTTAATGTATTAACAGGGAAAAGACCAACATGACATTCCCTAGGTCAGGTCTGCAGTATGTCAATAGATAATAACCATACCTCTGAAGTAACAGAACTGGTTGAACAGGAAAACAAAAACTCTAAGTCAGATCTAGAGGCTCCACTTACAGCGGATTCCATGGAACTCTTTCCTATTATAACCCAAAAGACAAAGAAAGTACGAGATAGACCGGCAGGGGTGTCCCCTGGCCAATGGCCCCCTGCCCAAATGTATTTACATGTAATGTCTAGGCCATATACACCAACAGAACTAATGGATATGGTGCAGAGATTTTGGCAGGGGCCAAAAGAGAGTGTACCCACATGGTTACTTAGATTATGGGATTCAGGGGC